AGACGGGGTTTCACCATGTTGACCAGGATGGTCTCGATCTCTTGACCTCGTGATCCACCCACCTCGGCCTCCCAAAGTGCTGGGATTACAGGCGTGAGCCACTGCGCCCGGCCCAGCTAAAATTCTTTGGAGTCAAGCATAATAATAAAAAGATTAAAATGGGTATCACTATGATTAAAAACAAAACAAAACAAAATCCAAGTCTGGCTCTAAAGTAACAAGACTGGTGTTTTTTTGGTTTTGTTTTGTTTCATAAACTAGCTCTGAGAACAAGCCAGGAAAAGGAAGTATTTCAGTCAGTGTGTAAAATCTGTTTGTACATAGCCTTCCTTGGTGCCCAGTTTAGAGGACAGTGCTCACTGGGATGCAGAAAAAGCCTGCAAGTCTGTAGGAAGATTCATTTACAGACAAAAACATTTTATCCAAGGGCATTAATATAAATCTTTAATCAAGTTCTCCAGATGTGATAAAACAGAAACAGTTCTGCCTACTGAGACCTGAGTACAAGACTTATACTAATATAATTTCTTTTATTGGCATATCCTTCAGATTTTGCTAAACAATATAAATTTTCATAATTACTCTGGGTATTATCTTTAACAAGTGAAAAAGATTACTGACACTAAGTTAAATGACTTTCCCCAAATCCTTTGGCTAGAATATGGCAAACCAAGGACTAAACCTCAGGTCTTCTCTTTATCCATTATTTTTTCTATGTTCTCACAAAGGTTTGGAACAGCAGTTAATCAGTTATAGTGGTAAGTTAACCAGGGTGCTTATAAAATACTGAACCATAAAATTACTAGATCTTGAAAATGTGGACTTCATTAGAGGGTGGGGACAGCAGAGTCTGTCTACTCTTTTTTCTGCTTGTACATTAACACATGCTCATTTTATAAAACCCAGACAATTAAGAAATGAAGATTCTCTATAATGTGTCTGAAATAAAATATATACACAAAATCTGAAAAAATAGTTATGGCTAAACAACAAATTATTCTGTTGTATTTTTTCCTCAATGTTAGGCAAATTAAATATCATCATCCCCACTAACCACATAGATTAAATAGTTTAAATCAATCTATTTAAATTTCTCCTACTCTTACCCTACTACTCATAAACCCTGCCACTTTGAGTTCTGATGCAAGTTCAGACTGACTCAAGTTTATGTGTCCCATGGCTGGTCAGAGCACTGGGTAAGGACCACTCAGCCAGAAAAAAAGATGTGGTACTGTCACTCCCAGAGGCCCTCCCTCCTTTCTACTCTTCCAACATCATGGCATGTAACAGTTCTTACCACCCCTGCCACCCCACCCCTAGCCCAAAAAATCAGTTTTAAAGAACACAACTAACCTTTATAGGAAGATTAGGATGTGTCAGAGCTGTTCCAGACAATTCATATATACTAACATCTTTTAAACTCTACATAGTCGTGACTGAGTTTAGACTATTATCTCCATATTCACAGATGAAATAGGCACAGAGAGGTTAAGTAATTTGCCCAAGGTCCCACAGTAAGGAGTAGAGCCAGTATCAAACACAGTGCTCTTACAGACATATACACAGTAAGCTTAACTAGGTTGCTGAATGTATGTCACATACAAAAGGCAAATATATATCTTCTATATACCAAAACAAAAAAAAATTTTAAGATTTTGGTAATAAAAAATATCAGACACATAGGAATAAATCTCAGCATTACAAAACTTCTACATACAAAAAAACTGCATGACCCCATTTTTTTGAAGTTTGAAAACAAACATAAATTGCCACTAGAAGCCATAATATGGTCCCATTTCCTAAGAGTGTTACTATGGTTTAAATGTTTGTGTCCCCTACCCTCATTCATACGGTGAAATTCCAACCTCAAGGTGAAGTTATTAGGAGGTTGGGCCTTTAAGGGGTCATTAGGTCATGAGGGAAGAGCCCTCCCTCATGAATGGGATTAGTGCCCTTATAAATAAGGCCCAAAAGAGCTCTTTCACCCCTTCTACTATGTGAGGATATGGCAAGAATATGCCCTCAAAGAGTAAGTGGGCCTTCTCCAGACACTGGCCTTGACGTTCTTGACTTCTCAGCTTCCAGAACATAAAATTTCTGTTGTTTATAAGCCATCCAGTTTTTGGTTTTTGCTATAGCAGTCCAAACAGACTAAGAGAATTGTTATTGCGTAGTTAGGTTGTTGCTGAAACAAACATCTAAAAATGTGGAAGAGGTTTTGGAACTGGATAATGGACAGAGGCTGGAAGAGTTTTGAGGTGCGGGCTAGAGACTGTCTCCCATGAAACATTTTCTAAAACTACATATAATATTAAAAAAGCTGTATGACAACACATATCAGGGCTTCAACTTTGATTAAGGCTGTGAGGGACATAAAATGATCTATATACACATACAGCAATACAACTGCTGATGATGACTGTATCAGGAGAGCTGGTCTGAGGGGAATTTCTTCCTTATAGATAATCAGGAAAAACAGCCCTCAACCTTTCCCTTCTCTTATATACATACTATACACATGTAGTGAGAAGACCCTCATCATCTTGCTCAAAGACAGCCCTGTATGTCTTTGCAAAAGGCAAATATAATTTTATTAATATTTCACGTTTAATATGTATATTGTGATAACAGCCATATATTTGTTTGCTGGATTCTTACATGATGTAAAATAAAGACACTTCAGAGGACTTGCTGAATGACTGTCTATCAAGAATGCAGGCATCAGGACAATGTGGGTGACTTGCAGAATGACTAGAATGAGTCAGGAAAGATTACAAGTATTTTTCCAATTATTTACTCAAAGTGAGGACAAAGAGATATAAGGCAGAGCAGAACTATAATTACTGTATGTCAGTCCTAAACAGCAGAAAACCAATGTTGCATTGTTAAAAATTCCAAAGTATAAACAATAACTTTTCCTGGGGAGCTTTAAAGGTAGAAACTGTGATGCTGACCGGAGACTAGTAAAAAACCATTTAAAAAACAAGCAAATGTACATTATTAAACAATAGCTATTGGAAGCTCTCAGGAATCTCTTCTTTTAGAAAACAATTCATTCTTGCTTTGGCAAAATGAATCAATTATGCCTGATTCTCTTATTACTCAAGTTATTCCTGGGAATTAAAACCTTTCAATTTAAGAAAAATAAATCAATCCTTTAATGCCACTGTTTGAGCCTCCAAAACAATCACTTATTGAAAGGATGCCTCTGGCATCCCAGAACAATTACTGTGGCTTATGCTTTCTACGAGGCTCCCAAGGAACAAATCACTGAATCAATAAATGAGAGCATTAGACAGGCTCTCTAGGATTTTGATACTTAATAAACATAGGAAACAGAGGCTCCAATTAACAGTGCGAGATTATGCACAGTCTCATTTATGCAAGCTAACTGGGAGGTTTCATTTTCCTTTTACAAATGAAGAATATTCTGACTTAGCAATTACTTGCTCATGCTCAAACAGGTACAGTATGGAAACTCCAAGATTTAAATTGGCTCTTTCTGATCCCAAAGCTAATGTTCTTTCCAGTGTATTAGGTTTAGTGTACACACTGAGGATTAAATATTTACATAATAAAAGTCACTGCCTGCTTACTCAAAAGTTTATGTTCAGTGAGAAAACCAGTGATTTTAGTATTGTACCCTTCTATAGAAAAAGTAGATTGGCTTAAAATGAAACCACAAATCTCCAACACTATGGGTTAAATTATGTTATTCGTGTGTGTGTGTGTGTATGAGAGACAGAGAGAGAGAGATAGAGAGAGAATGAGAATTCAGATTTAGTGCATTTGTTTAAGGGCAGAAGGATCAAAGTGTATTCTTTTCTTGGGGGAAAGGACTGTAGGGGACAATCTCTCAGTGGAATCTGGTTCATACTGAGCTGTACTCAATAACTAGTCTGTGAAAGTAATGGTAAAGGACTACAGATGGTGATAAAAGTCACTTTAGGTATAACTTATTTTAAGCAAATCTATAAATCAAATCCTGACATCATAAAACTGATAAATTAGGGACAATCTACTTATCCAAGCTTACCGAAGTATTTTCAGATTTACAGTCTTTATCATAGATTTTATTTAAATAGTTGCTACCTCAAAACATATTTCATATTCTTGCAAATAAAGTACACATTACTATTGCCTGTAAGATCAGAATTTTAGGCTGGGCACGGTAGCTTACTCCTGTAATCTCAGCACTCTGGAAGGTCAAGGTGGGCAGATCACTTTAGGTTAGGAGTTTGAGACTAGCCTTGCCAACATGGTGAATTCCTGTCTCTGCTAAAACTACAAAAATCAGATGGGCATGGTGGTGGGGGCACCTGTAGTACCAACTACTTGGGAGGCTGAGGGATGAGAATTGCTTGAACCCGGGAGATGGAAGCTGCAATGAGCCAAGACTGTGCCACTGCACTCCAGCCTGGGTGACAGAGCGAGGCTCCATCTCAAAACAAACAAACAAACAAAAAACCCCCTAGAATTATAGCCACAAATCCAATGTAACAAAATGTTACTTATAAAAATGGCTTTGAAATTAAAGAGTTTATACTAAATTAACATTTGTGAAGAATCAAATTATGCTTATTTTGAGGGTAAAAAATAAATATTAAAAACTGAATAATTCTGTTATATGAATTACATTTTATAACATTTTCCCCCAGAAACCACTGCTTATTTTTGCCAATGATACTTTTAATCTTCACTGACCCACATCATGGAGAATTACCAGACACTGAAAATCTTTTTCTGTTTTCAATGAGTTTATTTTCTTCCAAGAAGAAAAAAAATGTATCAAGATACAATAAGCAGGTCTTACAATTTTAGGTGAATATTACTATACTTATGAAACAGTTTATGCATCATTTATTCTTGTTTTCACTTATTCATTCATGGCCAACATTTACTTATTCTGTTATCTAATTTACTAATTTAAGCAACATGTAGTACCCACTACATGCCAGATTCTGCCAGTTCAATTACTACCTTTTGGATACCAATTTACAAGGTTCCTTGCAAATCTGAACTGGAATACAGGTACCTCTGAAGTATACCTGTATTCTAATCTCTTCCCAATTTTCTGATGATATTGCTCATATACCTCCTCTCTCCCTTTCCCCATGATACAGTCATGGCTGTAGCCTCTGAGAAGTCAGGTGGAAAAAAACATGAAAGTGATTATTAAGATGCTCTTTTGGCAGGGAGGACAAGAAGGGACCTTATCTTTCTTTCACCAGAGCAGCTAGTAAAGCTGGTGCTGAGAATAGGTAGTAATAACTGATTTAGGAATAACTATGAAACCAATTTATTTCCCTAAACAGACTAAGGGCAAAGATAATCAACAAAAAATACAAAGAGGAAACACAGATTTGCAACAAAAACATCCATGTGGAAGATGCCAGTTTATAGAAATACTGATCCTGTACTCTCACTTATATGGTACTTACTTGCCATCTGTGTCTGATGTAGCTGCATAGTGCAGGGGTGTGCAGCCTCTTTCATCAAGGTCATTCACACTTGCTCCTGATCCCACAAGAGCGAACAGGCACTGGTAATTGCAGTTGGCAGCAGCGTAATGCAGTGGAGATCTTTTGTGTCCAAGTTAATACAAGAAAGATAAAAGCCAGAGGCATAACTAGTAAACAGAAGCATAGTTGACTCTTACTCCTTCCAGTTACAAATACTGTATTTACACTGAGACTTAGACTGCCATATACTAAGTCTTATGGAAGACTGGATGGAAAGCTAGAATAAGAAAGTAAGGTGGCAGAGAACCTTTAAGTATATGAAATAAGATAAAAATGAAGTTATTTCCATCGTCTCCAGGCCGTAGCAATCCTAGTCCCAGTCCTTTGAGTGACTTTTAAATAACTTTTACATTCTGCTCAGAAATGTGAAAGCTTTCATTTTAAGAAAGTTTCCCCTACATTAATAAAAATGTTCTACAGTACGGAGGTAGCAATTTCTATTCATGTCTCAGTAGAAGAACAAAGGATAAGACAAAAAATAGAAGAAACATT